GGGAGACCTTATAGAACCTTTCAGTACCTGAAGGGGCTACAAGGAAGCTGGGGGGGGCTTTTTACAAGGGCCTGTAGTGACAGGGCAAGGGGTCATGGGTTTAAATTGAAAGTGGGGAGGTTTAGATTGGATATCAGGAAGAAGTTCTTCCCGGAGAGGGTGGTGAGGCACTGGAACAGGTTGCCCAGAGAAGCTGTGGATGCCCCATCCCTGGAAGAGTTCAAGGCCAGGCTGGATGAGGCGTTGAGCAACCGGGTCTAGTGGAAGGTGTCCCCGCCCATGGCAGGGGGGTTGGAACTAGATCATCTTTAAGGTCCCTTCCAACCCAAACCCTTCTGTGATTCTATGATTTATTTCCCAATAGTTTAAACAGATACAAAACTTGGTGGTTCTTTCAACAGGCCGTTTTCTCTGTCCTTAGAATTCTTTCTTCAGAACTTTTTGGGACTCTTCCAAGTTTTTCAGAATCTCTTCAAACATGGATATGAGTTGCAGGACTTCAATGGCCATCTCATCTATGCTCTAAATGCTCCTACTCATTTCTGTTCCTACCTCGCTTCTCTCCTGTTATGTGCATATGAGGATGGCTTTAGTCCTTTTCACCACAGTGTTTCACCTGAATGTTTTACTGCACTGCCTGCCTGCTGTGTTCCTCAGACTGGAGCCACAGTCCACCTTTATTAGACTTATTAGACAATATTGAACAAACTATTATGAAGAAATATAATAGACAACCAGTATTTTTCTTCACAATTATATTAGTTTTCTCTAACTGCACTTGTCAGAACTGTTCCAGTCTTAACGGCATTCTCCTGCTATTCAATAAAAATCAAAATCAGTGATTCAGTAATGTTTTTACGAACTGTTTTTGCATATTTGGGCAGCATAATGAAACCCGCTCACTTAGAAATATTTCTTCCAGATAGATGTTGTTTAATATTCTCTTATGTTAATAATATAATATAAAGTTCTTTATCATAGTCCTGTAATAAATAAATAGGAAATCCTGTTTCTGTTTAAATGAAGAGAGAAATATTGGTTTCATTTACTGTTTTGTTCTAAATCAAGGATCCTGCATTATGCTGAGATTTTTCATATTTCTAGAATGCTTTTAAAAATTGTTTTTCATCCACTTATAGATTTTTGGGATTGGGTGAGTTTTTTCCCTATTATGACAAAATTTCTCATTTATATTGTTTTTTATCTAAGTCATCTTTCTTTCTTTGGCCATGCACTCTTCTTTTTTGTATCTTATAGCATCTCCCTGCTCTTAGACATGTGGAAAAATATTGTTGGGTTATCAGATAAATTCTTCATACAGTCAAAGTAATATTTTCATAGCTGAAGTTTTGGGGTTTTTTTTCCCCTCATTTCTGGTTAATACTGACTTCATTATATATTTATAATAAGTTTGAAAAACTTTTTCTTCTGAGGTACCAAATTTTGTTTGGGGCTGGCTTCAGTTTGCCCTCTGTGGACATCATCTGGTTATGATCACTTAATCTACAAATATGAACCAGCTTCCCCTGCAATGATGTCTTCACTTTTTTCATCATGCTGACATTTCCATGTAGAGGTCCCTTTTGTATTAGAAAATTACCATGCAGTTTTTTTGGGCACTCAGACAACAGTTCTATGAGTACTCCTAAACTGAAGTTTCCCCAACCACATAGTTTTTTTTCTGGGTATGGTAAGAAATAATTCCTCCTGGTGTCTGGTTTGATTTGGGTTGATTTAGGATTATGAAAGACCTCTGCTAGTAATCTGTCACAACTTGCTTTGTTGCTGCATTTATATTTCCAATTTAAATCTTGTGGTTATTGGATTTACTGATAATTCTAAACAAAGTGACACTATCTTTAGCACCATCTTTTTCTCTCCTTTGCCTCTCCCCCATCAGTCTTTCTTCTTGACTGGAGATTAACGTTTAAAACATTGTTACGTATGTAATTGTTCATTAACACAGATTTTTATGAAAGGAGAACTATAGTCTCAGAGCCATTGCAATATGCAATTTGTTTGTGATTTTAAGTGGTTTATTTTAAATCTGAATTGATGATAGACCAACACTTTCCAGTAAATCTACTTAATCTGAATAGTTAAATCAGTATTTTAGCAAGTTAGCCAATTCAATTGATCTGGGCTTCCTCAATTAGAGATTTTTCTTTTCCCCTTTGCTCTATGATTGCTCTATTCTTTTTCCGTTACGGAGGAAATTATATTCAGATCTAAAAGGACCTATGAGCAAGAACAGCACCTTTTTTGTTTCTGCTCTTCCTCATAATTTTGAGAGTCTGGGATTCATTGGATTGAAACTGGGACACTTTGAATATAATTTGAATATTACATTCACCTGAAAGCAGTTGTTTATAATGAATTGGTTCTTCCTTTTGGTCAGCTTGTTTGGACATCTTCAGACAAATGCAAAGAGCCTCTGCAAGGAGGGTGTACACAACTAAACCATGCAAAGCAGTTATTCACAGACTAGCCCATGCAGAAGATAGCTAGGGGTTAGCAAGCACTGGGCTAAGCACTTCCATACTCACCTCACCAATGGATGAGGCATCCAAAGGGCTGCAGCTGCCCAGGCTGGTGTAAATATTATTTTGATAAAATGTACTCCTTGAGACAAAAGAATCCTTTATGTTTTGAGGATTTATATGGTATAGAGAAGGAGTGGTCAACTCAGAAGAATGCATGTCAAAATTTTATGTGGTAAAATGTAAACTGCTGTAAATTAATTGATTATTCCTTACCTTTTTATTTGACTTCTGTAAAGGCTTTGCAGACATGGTCAGTCTCTGAATTCTATAAATCATAATGACTATACAAGAAAAATGGTGCAAAATTATTTTCTCCTTGAAATCAGCATGGATTTCTTACTATTTGCTGCTAACATAGGTGAAAGTATTTGTATCTCCACAAATAATTTTCCAACAACAACATCCAGTTATATATTTTGTTTTTCAGTGGTATTCTCAAGTGTAATCTATATGTTACTAATTAAAAATAAATCCAGTAAATAAAAAGGGTCTGACAGAAGCTTAGCTCTAAGTTAATGTAGGCAATTGCATGTCATCTACCTCGAAGGAGCATATGGGAAAGTATATATCCTTGTTTTCTACATCTTGTATTTTGTTTTGTCTTATAGTTGTTCTTGTTTCCTAGTCTAACACAGAAGATAAAGTTGCATCAAGCTTCTATTCTTTCCAGTTATCAATTTGTAATATTAGATATATGTTAAATGCATATATGTAAATTTGTAGTTATGAATATCACTTGCAGAAGTGGGTAGGAATAGTCGTAATAAGACTGGATCATTGTTACTGAGCATTTAAGGTTGCATAGGTAATAAGTTTTCTTTAAAAATTCAATATACAAACTGGGGTACAAAAATTATACTGAACATTTAGAATGCTGCAATGACAGCTCCAAGAATTTGGAGCTTCCTGTATTTTCTAATTTAAATTGGTAAAGAATTTGCCCATTAGTAAAACTTTTAAGGAATTCTACTTAGACTACAAGGTCTGTCTCTCCTTTAGGCTTCTATGAGTAGTCCCTCCCAGTTTACAGTGTCATGTTGCACTGTTGCCTCATGAGAAGTCCACAGATCAGAAAAGCAAAATTGCTGTCTTGCTTCTCTTTAGTCTTACAGCTCAGTGCTTTGCCAGATACTCCTACTGCTTGTTCCCTTCTTCCCAGCCCATGCTCCCAAATTATCTCACTCTCCTTGTTTCCACTCCCTTGCCCTACATTGCAGGCAGGATAAGATGGAAGTCACTGGTATGTATAATTTGTTTCTGTTAAGCCCAGTAAACTGATCAGTGAAGGAATGATCTTCTCTGCTGCAGAAATATTATTTAAGGTTGAAAACTGAAATTCTGACTGGTAGAGACTTCTTAATTCTTGTTTCTATTTTCTATTTCTGTATTCTGTTCTGCATTTGTAGTCACTTTTGCTGTTTGTCTGGCCAGATTTCCCCCTCATTTTACTATTCAATATATTTTCCTTTTATTATCTTCGAACAAATAGTTGGCAAAGAATCTATTTAATAAATATTTTTTCCCCTCTTTTCAATATCAATTATAGCTTCTATGCTCTGTTTGACCCATGTTCTAGGGTTTCTTTGACTCTTCCATCACTTGCAACTACCTGTCCTTTCCTTAACATTTCAGGGTGTATTCCTCTCCACTTACCCTCTATGTAATGATTTTTTCTTTTTCCACTTTTCTTTCTGTGCTTTGATTTCCCCTTATTTTTGTCCTTGCTATTAATCATCTTTTGATAACTATGTCCTTGGTACTGTATTCTCTCCTGCCTGTCCATCTTCCATCTCATTCCGTCTTCTTTTCTTGATCTGGGAAATGAAATCTATGTGTCCCTGTGGAGAGACCCCACCATGGTAGCCTGCCTTCAAGGTCTTGCCTTGGGGTCACACAGGTGACTGGTTTCCTTCTCCTTCCTGGTCCTCCCTCAGCATTTCACTACAGTATCTGGAGTGAAAGTGCCAAACCTTTTAAACTGTTGAGCTGGGATAGCTGTGTCTGGAGAAGAGATGCAGAGGATGTTGTTGGGGTGATGACAGGGACTCTTTGCAGGTTGCCAGTTGGGTTTATGTACCACCTGGGGGAATCACTGTCAACCTGCGTGGTATGAGTTAATATATAGTCATTGCAGAGTATGTTGAGTATCACAGCTTTTAGCTCCCTTGCCTGCTGTGCTGTGTGCAGCACAGCTCTCATCCCTGTGCTGGAGTCTGCTTCTTCAGGTGATAACATGACATAGGTGGGGGAGACTAGCACCAGGCTGCAGGACTAACAACATGGGAGGGAAGGGGCTGTATCTGTCCTCCGTACACTGTGGAGTAGTGCTCATCCCATGAAGTGAGTTGATGCTGAGTTTTTCTGATGAGGGGACCCATGCTTGTGCTTTTCTCGGCTGTGACTGCAGTCATGGCATTCTGCTTGTCTTGCTCATAACAAACCTTGGTGTCATTACAGGCCACGGTATCTGCTCATGCGGCCGATGCGTTTGCCAGGACGGGTGGTTTGGAAAGTGGTGCCAGCATTCAAGGAAGTGCAACATGACAGAGGAGGAGAGCAGAAGTCTCTGCGAGTCAGTGGATGGCATATTATGCTCGGGGAAGGGTAAGAACTGGCAGCTAAGCTACTCCATGCCAGTACCCTGGCAGCGGAAAACCGCCTTCTGGAAGACCAATATGCATGGCAGTGGGCAAGATGGCAAATTCAGTATCTTGGGGAACAGTAAGTAGAGGAGAGTGTTTAACAGCAACTTTTGGTGTGCTCAATCACCCCCCCTTCCCAGCACAGCAGCAAAGGAAACGTAGGCATCTGCAGGCCCCATGATAGAATCCCACAAACTCTCTAATTTCCTAATTTTTATTCAGGTGGTTCCATCAGCTTCAGTCCAGCTCTAAAAAATTGCCATGGGGAGGAATAAAATGTAGAAAATCTTTATAATTATCTGAAATTGTTCTCTGAGGTTCTTACCTTGCAGCCTTTAAAGCCAGGAAATTGCATGACTGACAAGAGGGCTTTTTAGCTTCCCCTTAGTGCAAACTCTCTATTTTTGTATATAATACCTAAAAGAAAATCGACAAAAAATGGGTGGTGGGACTGGGTGGCGGCTAGAATGCACCCACTCCAGAGTGTACATGTTGTTTCCTCTGTTCATGTATCCCTTGCATAGACAGGGAAGAAAACTTCTGGCTGGAAAAAACAGTTAGTAGCCTTTTCCATCAGGCAGAATTCCAGCTGGCCCTTTGGTAAATTTTATTTCAGTGCAGATGAAATTTAAATGGGGTTTCAAGCTTGGCCTTCTTCCATCTATATTATTACTTGTCAGAATTCTCCCCCACTGCACCATTTTATTTCGTGACACTCTCCTCCCACCCCAACCCCCACCCCCAGTCATTGGAATGCCATAGAAAATGAGGAAGTTGCACTCTTTCTCTATTGTTTCCAATAGATGTGGCTGTCTTTAAATTAATGTATGTGTGAGAGGATACCGAATTGTTGGAGAAATGGACTTATTCTATTTTAGTGTAAACTAAAATAGTTTAGAAGTTAACTTTTCTTCTCATAGTCTTGGCCTCCCTGTGATTTTTTATATAAACTGTGAAGGTGAGAAAATACGCTTAAAATCATAAAATTCACTACATAAAATTCTAATTAAACAGGAAAAATCAAATTGAATTTTCACATAAGTGTGTTATCTGTTACCTTTCCTTAAGGATGTCTGAGAGCTATTTATTCCAGCCTGTGGGTCTTACTCTGAGAACAATCAGCTTTGAGCATGCATATCAAGACTGTAGTTTACTTGGAGGCTTCGGGAGCAGATAATCTGGCAGGAATTTGCAGAGACATCAAGGATTTTTTTTCCCTGTTGGCTGTGTGGTTTGGGATCTGCTCACTGATGTAGGCTGGAGCAACCTGGAGTTTGGACTAGGTTGCAACCAGCTGCATGCAGGTAGAGGTTTTAAACGTGGCTGCATGAATGGAGCCTCTGAAGGCCCACGATTTTCTAATGCAGTAGCACACTGTTGAACAGGAATTACGAATTTGACCCTAAATCTATATTCAGTAACACTGCTGGGATCTCTTTTTTTTTTTTTTTTTTTTTTTTGAGTTTCTTCAACCTCCAAGAGCAGGTAAGCTTCCAGTGTGACGGAGGGTTGCCCTGTGGACCTTCAGGTCATGTAATGAAACTGTGTCACATTAGATGCTATAGCAGCTTTATCATGGGAACAGCTGGTCATATTGTCGCAGCAGAGAAATACCTACATAATATATCTTCCAGAAGAGTATGGACAGTGAAAATCCAAGGAGGTCACTATCTCCTGCCTCTTCTCTGAGCAAGGAGACAGTCTAATTATTTGTAAATTGTGTTTATATGCTTAGATTTCCCCCCCCTCTCCTTTTTTTTTTAAAGGCAAATTTGTTAAAATGCTTAAATATGTGTGGGCAAATCATGTCTTACTGGGGCCCCATACTTTAAAATGTTGTTCATAGCTAGTGTGACCAGCACTATCCAGAGGCCAAAATAACAAATTGTTCATTCTATTTCATTACATTGAGCAATACATAACCATTACTGGTCAAATAAAAGGGAATTTTGAACCCGTGCAGTAGTGGTGATTATTCCATCTTTGCTGGAAACCCAGCCAAGGTATGGTTTGCTATAATGGATTGAGGGAGCTTGAGTTTCTGTATGTAGGACTTAATAGGCTCTAAGGAGTCCTGATTCTTAGCAGATAACTGCTGAACACTTTCAGAAAGTTACACTCTACAAAAATAATCAAAATTGGATATGCACATTCCTAGGCTGTTTTCAAAATCTTGGCTTGCTGACTATGCCACCTGTAGTAAAAGCTCTTCCCAAGGAAAACAGCAACACCCACCATGCTGCTGCCTCCCTGGCATTAAATGTAGGGCTGCAGATGGCTACTGTAACAGTGCAGGACGCAGGCTAGGTAATGAGCCAAATCCCATCCGAGAGGATCTGGCCGGGATCCCAGGGAACACCCTGCAACTCATTAGACTCATTTTAATTAAACTGAGGAGCCTCCCTGAGCAACATGCTGTGTTCAGGGAAAAGACTTGATACATTCATTCTCCCAAACAGATTCTACATTATGGAGCCTGATTTTCCTTGGTTGAACTGGTGTTAAATTTGCTATATCTTCTGCAAAAAAACTTTAAACGTTGTGGGCATCCCTCAGTAGCAACATCGTTTTTTGCTTCTGCAGAATCACTTCAGGTTTCTTGCAATGTCATGCTCTTATTAACTGCTTTAATTACACTGAAATTGTCATACTATTCATCGTTATTTTCATCTGTCAGTACTTGTAGTTTGTATAAACAGAGACATTCAGTTTAAGTTCCCCTCAAGTATATCTTAGTGTAGCTCTTATACAGGAACCATGCCATATGTAAGGTATCCTCCACTGCCTCTTTATACAATGGCATTTTTTATCCTTGTAGGGAATGTCAGTATATTCTGTGCCCCTGGCTCAGTAGGCAATACACAGAACTCATGAAAAAAGTAGATGCTTAAACAAATAATCCCGTCCTCAAATGTTCCAATCACTATATATATTCACATGTTCCATATGTTACAAGTTAAAACAGCATTTCACTAAAATATGGTTATGAGTTAATTTTTTTCAACTTACATTAAACACTAAATTACTTATATTTTTAATTAAAAAATTAGATACTCTATTGGATTTTGTGTATTTGGATTTTTGCTATGGATTTTATTCAGAAGTCACTGAAAGGAATGGAAAAATGGAAAGCATTATTTTATACACTTTGGCTCAGACCCTGTTAAGTAACCCATGAATTCTGTTGAAGTTACATCCTGACATAACCAAGCTTACTTCTATACATTTTTCTTTCGTACTGCATGAAACACATTGGTGACTTTGTGCTGTAATTATTCTGGAAATATTGCAAGAAGGTGGGTTTTTCAACAGCATCTAACTCATTTGTAAGCATGTTCTGTTAGAGATTGACAGCTTCTTTGGTGACTTTTTTTAAAAAACTGCCTCCCATAATTAAAAATTGTATGTGTATTCTTTGTTCCCATTTATTTGCATGGGTTTTTTTTGAGATTTTTGTATTGATTTTCTGCTGTAACCAGTTCTTAGGGCCAGGCCCAGTAAAGGATTTTTGCCCAGCAGTCACTGAATGCCTCGCCTTGGCTTTAAGCATCCAAACTCTGTAAGGGTCAGGCAGATGAGGATGGGCTCTGTAAAGGTCAGCTTGCTTCATCCCAGTGCTGGAATTGGCCAGAGGAAGTACCCTCTGGTGGCATTTCTCAAGGCAGGAAAGCCTCTCACCTACCCTTCCCAGTCTGCAGACTTTCTGGGGGCAACTGTTCGCCTCCAGGATTCACAGCCATGAACCTCCTCCTGAAGGTAAAGGTGTCTCTGAGTCTTCCCTTAAAGGGAGGTTTCTGGTGCTCGGTAGGTTATGGCATCACCCACCTGTCACTGTGAAGTCCCTCCTTTGCCTGTGGGGGTGCGACCTGGCATCCTGGATGGGGAGGAGAGTGGCTTATCCTGACAAGGGGCATTGGGATACATCGCAGGAAGGAGCAAACTAACTGCTGAACTGCTGTTTCGTGCACAAAATCCTTCTGACCTAGGGCAAATATTTAGTAATTCTGTGGGAGGTGGAGCAGCTTCGTTTGTAGTGATGAAGATTTTGGAGGTTTAAATGTTAGTCTTATGCCCCTCTGGTCTTTTGCGGACTCATCACTAAAGGCTTTAGATTAGAATGGCCATTTTCTTCCTGGGTACGATTTTACTGCCTTTGGTAACAGTAGGTCAGGGAAAATCTGAGCTATTCTAGTAAAAAAAAAATAACAGTTACTGTGAAGATCAGCCCTGATTGTAGGTCTCTGAAACCAAAGGAAAGCTTCAAAATGTGAGTCCTGATGAAGTGCAATAGCAGAATCAAAGCATTAGTAGTAACTACCCACCATACTCTAGCTCATTCCAAAAGAATCCTTTTATTGGAAAAGCTTTTAGCTTGATTATTTCCTTTTATACAATAGCTTCTCAGGCAGCAATTTTGTGGGTATGCATGAATGTGTATGTGGGCACGTGTGTGGGGGGAATGCTATTTTCTAGTCTGAAGAAGCCAGTGCTCTTTGACTGCGAGTAACAATTTTTGTGATTTCAGGTTCCTGCCACTGTGGAAAGTGCATATGTTCACCACAGGAATGGTACATTTCGGGCGATTTATGTGAATGCGATGACAGAGACTGTGACAAACATGATGGGCTCATTTGCACAGGTGCAGTAGAGGCTATCACTTAATTGGTCTAAGAAACAAACCGTGTTGATGGGAATTATGTTAGATGAAGACCAGCTTCTTCTTTCTCCATGGACGGAGGAAGCGCATTTGCTGGTTATTCAAACCTGCTATAATTATTTCTTTGTGCATCTTAAGGTTTCAAAAGAACAGTTGAAAGCCTGAGTTCAGATTTAAATAATTAAGCCAGCTATGAAATCCGTCAACAGTTTTCACCATAACAAACTATGAGTTACTGCTTTTTTGCCAAAGGACATACGACGTCAGCATTGTGGTCATGAAATTTCTTTAACTTTTGTTCTCTTACTGGACTTTCTGTGTCTATAATGAATTTAAGTCATAGGCAAAATTCACTTTGATGATCTCCAGTAGGTGAGAAGCATAGCCGTGTGGGTTTCAGAGAGCTTCCTGGCAATCAGACTATTCCCAGTGGGAGTGAAATACCTGCCAGTTTTTCTTATGACATGATGCCTAGTGATTAAAGAGGCTTCACCTTAACATTGTCTGAGAGTTCAGGTGGCAGATGCAGAGAGAAATGGGCAGGCTGCCAGCCAGCCCTCATGACAAATCTAGTGACAAGAAGCAACATGGGAATTGCTGAATTAACTCGGGGCTGCTTCCTGTTACAAATCTTAATTATAGAAAATCTTTGCTGAGCAATTATTAGATGTGGAGGAAATGTACAAGCCGATTAGACTGAGAGTGGGAGGGCTGACAGTAGTAAATTGTGTCTTCCATCAAGCCCTAGTAGCAAGGAGCTTTTTCTGAGGGCAAGTAGCCAGTGTAGAGGCTACAGGAACCATGTCTTCAGCTGCAGCAGCTATTGACAGATCTTCACAAAGTCCATAGGAAGAGGAGGTCCCACTGGAAACCCATGCTGTTGAGGTCTCAAGCTGAGCACAGAAGAGTCATGAGAAATATTGAAATAAAATGAAAACATGGGTCTCGGTACTTAATGTTTCCCCACTGCAATATAGGGCCAACATGTTTTTTCATCTAATAGAGAGTTTGAGATATTATTTATCTGTATAGCACTTCTAAGTTTTAGGTTTAGGTTTAAAGTTTTTTGTGTTCAAAGTGACGTTTTGATTGCTACTCTGTTTGTAACTTTTTAAGTCTTTTTCTTTCTGCATAATAGTTGAAAGTAATCTTGTTTTTTCCTTGTACCTGGAGGTGCCTGAGCTTCAACAGATGGGTAGAAATAGAGGCGGCATAATTACAATATTTGCAATTCTACTGATGGAATTATTGAGAGAATGCTATTAATGCCTTGTAAGTGTAGGTTTGGGGTGGCTTCTTAATGCAATGGTACAGTAATTGCTTCCTCCCAAAGAGGAAAAAAAAAGGGTGGGGGGAACAATAAAGGAACAATGCAACTACTTTAGCATGGCTTTTTACTTCCCATAAAACACATTTTAATGTAGTACATTTCAATTATGATAATTGCCCTTTATTCATTCTGTTCTAGGCAATGGTGTTTGTAGCTGTGGAAACTGTGAGTGCTGGGAAGGATGGAATGGAAATGCTTGTGAAATCTGGCTGGGGAGAGAATATCCTTAACAAAGGACATCAAAGACTGAAGGTTTTTTCTTCTTTTTTTTTTTTTTCTTTTCCCCTCTTTAGGCTGCTAGAACATTTAATTTCAGAAGTACTCAGTGTATGGATATGCATGCACACACATGTTCATGGGTGTAAATACTTTAGAATACTCATCTGAGGGCCTGCTCCTTATAAAAATGCATGATGAAATTAAAAAAAAAAAAATCACTTGGGAGCAGGACAGTCCAAGCTCTAAAAGGTGAAGTATGGCTCTGTGGAACCTCTCCAGAGATTTTTGATGAATTCCGTGGGATTGAGATTACGCTCATAGTGTCTATTTCTTAAAAAAACTTTGAAAAAGTTGCAAGACAGCCTTTTTTTAAAATTATTTACTTGGTTGTCACCCCTCTGTATCACTATGCAACAGTATTCCTGGAGAAGTACAGCACTAGTTGACTATTTGTCAAATGATTAATTTGATGGTGTTTTACAAATACAATGTTAGGCCTTTTTTTCTTTCTACCAGTCCTGATTATGCAACAGCTGATGAATTGAGAGAAGCTATAAAGAAGCTTATCAAAACATTAATGATTTTTTTTTTTTTGTCAAAGAATTGTATTTGTATAACTGAGGTCCAATTTCCTGACTACCATAGGCTGAAGACCCAACATGTTTGAACAGGTCCCTGTCCACAAGAGGACTTCTTCGTTTCTGTGGTTGTTGTGTGAGTAAGTTGGTTATCCAGCCTGCATACTACCGTACTTTCAAGTACGTAACCGATAGGATTATAAGGAATGAAACTAATAAAGATATAATGTATGATTAGCTATTCTGAATATGTATCCTGCAACGCATATGTACTTTTATCATACTGTTCTGTGTATGTACAGTTGCATAATTCTCTTAAAAGTAAAGAAAATGAAAATTTGTTATACTGATAACTTTTAGGATGACAATTCCATATGCTATTAGAAATCACTGTTTGGAACAGATTGCACTGTCACACATGGTATTCACTGAATTTAACTACCTTTATAGAAGTGGTGTGCCTGAAGGTCAACTGACAAGAAAAATCAGGTATTCTATGTAGTAGCTGGGTCTCAGCCAAAGGTGTTCAGACAATGACAACAAAGTAATTAAAGTTTTAATACAGTAAATACAAGCAAAGCGGTGGTATGAACAAAAATTTTATTTTTATTTTCCAATGGTGAAATGCTGCTCAGTGTGAAATTCACATTGAGTTATGAACGATGCACAACTATTGGGACTTCCCTAACTTATTTACATATGAGTCTTTTTTTTTAAATACATGTAGATTTGGCAGCCCTTGAATTCTTTAGAGCAAAAAAAGATACATACATTTTAGTTTCAAAAGTGTTTACATTTTGTGAAACCATGACTGAGCAAGAGATTGCTTAAATGGTTGGAAAATATTTCTTTTGAATACCAAACTGTAACATTGTGGTTTAGGTGCCAAAGTCCTGATTTTTGAAGAGTAACAAGCCTCAGAAATAAGGGAACTATATATCAACGAAAAAATGTATTTCCATTATTAGTCGAGAAATTAGTTTTCTTTTAAAAAGGACAGTTTTGAAATAGGAAAAAACAATGGTAGAGAGCATGTAATAGAACGCAAAAAATTTTAAATTATTTTAACCACTTCTATTATTCCCCCTTCCCATGTGGCTTGCTCTTTCTCTTACTGATTTTTTTCCTTAATCTGGATTCTTTCCTTCTAAAAACAAAGCTTGTGAAACCCATGTCCTCAGGGAGTATAATCACCAAATGCCCATGCATAACTCCTACAGAAGTTACGCAGCTTAATAACGAGACATACATCCCAAAGCTACTAGTGGCGCTCTTTTTAGGTAACCAAAATGTCAGGCCGAGTTCTAAAATGTATTGATACAGCATAAAGAATCTTCAAAGTAGAATTCATCTTGAAATTAAAGTTTATATTTATAATCCTTAAACTCTGTAGAGCTTAACAGGAATATTTTCTTAAATTTTAACATACATGCGTTTTGTCAACCCTGGTGTCTGGAAAACAGAGATTGTTGGTTTTATTTATATTTACGAATACCGCTGACCTGAATCATCTTATAATCAGTGGGTTTTTTGCATATACATTCGTCTGCTGAATCAGAGTGTAAACAATGAAAGATACAAAGTTTTCCTTGATTTCCTTCCATTTGTACTTAGTACTGTAATAAGAAAATACTAGATAATCAAAAATGCTTATCAAAAGCATCAAAGTAGATGCTTTTGATGTGTTTCATGGCATGGTAAGCAGATTCATATAAGTTGTAGATCAGCCATGGTATTTCAGGTACTCATGTTCATAGACAAAAGAACAATACTTTAGAGGGTTGCAATGTCATACTTGACGCATTTTACTTTGTAATTTGGTTTGATTTAAAATTTTTTATACTTAAAGAGTGCAAGATTATTCTGATTTCTAGTTAGATTTTTTTAAAAAAAAACAATCAACTCCAACATTTTGGCTACTGGATGGATTAAATAGCCATAGCATTTCAAAAAGTGTTATCCAAGTTCTTTGTTAAGGTACATATGGAAAAATACTAGAATATTCTAAGATATCTACTCTCAGTGGTTCATTAAAATGTAAATTATCAAACAAAATGGTGCTATAGATATAAACCTTAAAGTATTAACTAAGACTACTAAAAATATAATGTATACATAAGTTGCTTTCCAATTTTTATTCTGCTTCTTATAATGTTGCTTGAACATTCCCCCGGCTCTTCATGCTGGGGTAACTGGTGATGTAACTCCCAGCAGATCTGGTTTGTGGCTCATTTCCTTACTAGAAAAATGACAGAAGTTATAAGATGATTATTCCACATATGTGAAAATAATAACTGTATTAATAAATTGTGATTTTACACCTCATTCCCTGTGATGAGAATTCCAGACACATAAACTCCAGGAAGAGGAGTAAGGGAGTGAAACATACTGCTTGACTCTTCATACCCACTCACTGTAAAAACTTGTTTCCAGGCCTGTGACAAAAGGCAGTTCTAGGTGGCAAAACCAAATTGGATAAACAGGGACTTCGCACCGGCTAGATTAATAAACCTTGTTAACAAAAGACACTATAGCCTTGCTGCCTCCTTAAGAGAGAAAAAACACAATCCAGAAGCGTGCTGAATGCTTCTGCAATAGACTCGCGAGATTATGCCCATTGTATTTAACATATCTGTAATATCACCTACAAAACACCTGTGAATGGATTTGTTTCCATAAACTATTAACCTACTTGTGATCCTTTCTTCTTCCTGGCCAAACTCTCTTGTAGAAACACGTAGATGAACATTTAACCATGTACCTGCTCTGACATTTCTGATGCACTGCCCTTGCTTCTTTACAGAATATCGCTTTGTAACTAAATGACACACCTAAATGATAGTGGGATGAAGAAAGCTAGTTGAATATTTCTGAGACTAAGTAATAGGAAAAAAAATTTATTACATCTTCAGAAATAAGCCGTAGCATTTGTATTAGTCATCACAAAAAAAAAAACCCACCCTGTTATTAGACATTTCAAAATGCATTGCACAGAATATGAGTTTATCTAAAGGGACATTTAAAAGAAAGATAACCTCCTTACTTAGTCTAATTTTACTTGCATTCCTGTTTGAATGGAGCTGAATAATTTCTTCTTTATACCAATAAACAGATGTATCAGCAAGATACGCCTTTAATGCATGGAGCAAACTGTCTGTTTTCATACTTCATTGCTTACAGTGGTTTTAAACCAAGAGAAAAAGTTTCCCAGCATATATATATAAAAAGTCAGAGTTCTGACTGTTGTTTCAGATATATACCATAGACAAAATGAATTCCTTTACTTTATATTTGGGGGCGAAAGGGTTGTTAGGAACCAACCTGACTCTACACAAGTTAAAGTTTATGAAAGTGATAGTGTATATTAAAAAGATACTTGAGAGTGGCTAAAAACCCCAGCAAATTAAACAAAAGCTGTGTTACTTGAACTACAAAGCACTTAAAAGTTACAAGCTCTATCATGTGAGCAATCTCATAAGGATTCTTGTGTATTTATACAATTTTCAAAGTATGACAAAACAGTGCTTTGTCGAAGTAGTTCGCATCCACTTAAAGCTGGATTTCTAAAACTGTGCAGCTGTGACTGATTTTGCCAAATAGAACTGTAGCTGAAACACAGATAAAAAAAAGGAAAGAGATAATGACTATGTGCAGTGTTAACATATGAAATGGTAAGATGAGGTTGGATTGCTGTGCAGTCTCAGAGATTAGATAAAACCAAGAACTAGAACAAAATACAAAGCAAGCATGCAAAGGATCTGGAACACTGCAGATTCACAGACATCTGGACATGTAAGTACAAAAACCTCAATCTGTAAATACAAATTAATTCTGTCAGTTTTACTATACAGTACTTCAGTAGTAACAGACAGTTGAAAACAGCTTTCACTTAACAGCAAAATTAATTTTAGAGGGAAGAAAGTGGTGAAGTCTCATCCTGGAGAACAGCAAGAGAGGTATTATATTAGGAGCTAAAATTTTCTTTGGCATGGTAAAAGGGCAGAACTGAGTTTGCCAACCTATTTACATGAAGTTTCACCATTCTGTGGCCAGTGCAACGATGTTTTGCACAGTCTACTTCTTACATAAACTTTTCTGTTGTTTTCCGGTCTGCCTTCATATAAATGTTTTATTCATCATGTTGAATCTGTGTATACAACAAATAAGAATAAACACAAACTGTACAATGCAGACAAACTCTTTGCATATATGTATGTAAATTTAGTAATACAGACCAACAGTTCTTTGATAGACACAACCCACTACATGCAGTTCATCCTTGTCATCCTCTTCCCATGCAACAGATGAGACAAGATACAAAATTAAAGAGAGGAAACAAAGCACAAAGACCCCTTTGCTATGTTTAAACAGACTGTAGAAAAATATTTTTAGGACATCTATTCATTGGATTAAACACACCTATGGATTTAGCCCACAGAAACAAAACCAGGGAAAAAAAAAAAAAGCTGTATTTCCAATATGTACTAACTGCTTACAAAAATTAAATTTGGCCTTAGTTATAGCCCCCTAAACTGGTTCACTGATCATAATTCCACAGGATCAAAAGTTTAATGTAGAAAACAGTATTTATGTAGCATCAGGCCATGAACCAGAACCTCCTTGCATGGCTCAGCCAGTTCTCCAGCCCTGTGCCTCCCCAGGCTCTTACACTGGGAGTGTAAAAAGGCGGCCGGATGGGACATGAACACATGCATTCCCCCCTCATGAACTCCTATGAAATTCAGGTGAGTGAGAAAATAGAGATAAAGGCTGTATTCTCTATCTTACTCAAAATACTGTGAAGTGCTCCTCTTAGAACTGCAGGAAAGTCTGGTGCCCAGCAGACAGTGCAACCTCAAGGCTGCTGCCTCCCAACGGGTCCTCCAGATGCCGAGCAAGCCCCCGGCTCACCAAGTGAGTTGCTTTGGTTTTGTTTTGTTTTCTCAGGGATGGTGCACAAATCCCCCTGGACCAGATGGGATGAGAAGAGTGCACCAAAGTTTTTAATAAAGTGTTGTTTTTTCCCCACACACACGTATTTAGTGATAGCAGGCAAGGGCACAGTTTAAGTCAAAGCTTCTTTGCATTTTTTATCACAGTATTAGTGTAGGTTTGTATCCTTTTCCCCCTACATTGATAGTGGGCTTCATGCCTAACTCACTCCCTCCTTAGAAAGACCCAGTATCAAGGGTCAGCTTGCTGTTCTCATGTTAAGTATATAAACAAGGAAGTCTGGCCTATGAAAAAACCAACATCTGGAATTAACAGCTTTACAGTAGCCTCTTTGAAGGCTTATATTTTGCTTATAAATGTTGCTTATAAAAACAGGACACATTTGAAAACTAACATGAAGGGTTCATTCAGACTGAATGGGTTGTTCAGCTGAGCAGACAGGGAGTTTGAAATAACCAGCAGTCTCTGTCAGGGCCTTCCGCACAAAGACATGGTAAAATAATAAATTGCCAGAAATACGACGTTAAAAAAGGAACGGGTTACTTCCTTTTCTGTTGCCTTTAAATATCAAGGTAACAGCAAGAGGCCAGGGGAGCGTTGCCACACATTTTTCCAGACTGAGGTACAGTTTGGTCCTTGTTACCCCTTCTGAGAAACAAATCCCTTCTTAAGCATCACTGTGGCATTCTCTAAACGTTTTTCCCCCGTCTCCCTAACATTGGTTTCATTGTTCACAAGTGACAAACTCAAAGGGTTGATGTTGTTTCTGGTAATATGATCCAAGGCTTCAATTTTATAACATTTTTGATTTCTTCTAGGTTCAGGTAGGAGAAAGTACAGTATACAAAGATCAAGGCAAGGCACCTTCAATCTAGCAATTTGGTGGGCATATTATCCTAGGAAGCTGGGTGGAGGTACGTACTGGGATATCGGTGAGATACATAGGACCTGACTTTGCATGCTTAGCTAAAAATAAAAATCAAGTTTTGTAATATGTCCAGTTTTAAAACCTTTTTTTTTTTTTAAAACATCAGAAATATTAAACTATAATTTGTAACTATTCTTTGCATTGGTGCTGCAAAAAAGAACACAACAACATCCTTGCCCATGCTTTGCTAAGTAGGTGTGGGATTCAGCCAAAAATAACAATGGCATTAAGTTCAGTTCCTTAAAAACAGGAAAGGATTATATTTGATATGGATTTAGGTAGCGCAATTCTGGTTAGTCTTACTTGTGGGTTTTTTTTTTTAATTTTTTATTTGTGGTGGTTGTTTTTCAAACAATGAAGATTTAGTAGATGAAAAATGAGCCTTAATTCAGGCCTACAAGGCCTACAAAATTCTTTGGACCCACTTTCCCAAAAATGAGTGGGTCTTGCTCGCTGGGCAAGGCAAATGTTACCATTACCAGTAAGCCTGTGATATGTATAAAACACACACACAAAAAGAAACTATAGGGGGATGCCAAACACTCGTTTCAGAAAACTTCCTGTTGGTTGTGTTTGACACTCTTCCCTCCACTATAACGCCAACCTCAGAAGCACAGTATTTGTTACTTAAATAGTATTCACATTTAATCAATATTGTAAGCCAGAGACAAGAATCCTATTTTTTATAGATATAATTTGTAATAATAGATTTTTGAAGGCTTCCTGATTCCCTGATTGCTTTCAGATTTAAGCCACCGGCAACACTTAAGTTATAGAGAAACACAATCCCTGCAAAAGGTCACAGACAGTGGAGCGAGCAGCCTTATAAAAAAGGGGAGAAATCCATAATAGCACAGGTTTACAGCATCTAACTAGAAATTACTTGATTATTTGTGTGCTACAAAATAGAACTTAAACACATGGATTTTGCTGAAACTGGACTCAAAAAGGGATTATGGGCAATTGTCAGCAGGCAAGGTATCAAGTGTACTTGTGAAGTATGTCATTCTCATGAAGTGTCACAGTCACAGAAAAGATATTAAAAAGGCATTCCAATATCTGGTAGGGCATTCCATGGTCTGAGTTTAGCTGGTTCATCCAGGTGTCTTCTTGTTGTGGTTGGAGCTACATGTTGAGATTTATCCCCTTGCAACAACTCAGTTCAGAAACGGTGACGGGCAAGCCTGTGACTCGCCGCAAGCTGATCCACAGACATGGCAGAGGGGAAGTCTGGCAAGGATAAATCACTCAACTGTACTCGGGACTCAGTAAGTCACAACACCTGTGAGGATCTGGCTATGTCGTCTTGCTCTTGCTAACTGGTTTGCCGCCATTCATTATTGCAGATGCACTTGTGCTTTTACTTGGAGTTACCCCAGCCTTTGGCACCGTTTCCCCAATATCATGCAAAGATGGTTCTCGATACATGGCAACTGCAGGGAGAAAAGAGGAGAGGAGAGACATTTTTAAGAATGTATTTCATTTAACAGCTCATCTCAAATAGGATTAATTTTCTACAGTAACTGATACCGTATTTTAACCTATGTTTCCCTTGCATGCGAGGGAAACTATTTATTTTCCCTTGAAAAACACTTGTTTTGCATGACTGACAGCTTTCCTCGACCCTCCGAATTTCTCACTTCTTTTGCATCTGAATTAATAACTCAGTAGGAAACAGTATGCTTGCTTGTTTAATGGAAACTACAGAAGCCCTGGAAATAAAAACCAGCTGTTCTGTCTTTGCATGAGGCAGACACCTTTACTTGTGGGTATATATATACACATACATATATATACACACACCCCTTAAATATTCTGCAAGTTTTTAGAAATAAAATATTATAAGACAGATGGTGTTTAACCAATGGGATCATACAAAACAGGTGTCTAGACTTAAGTGGTTTTTTTAGTCTTATGTTGCAAGACTAAGCTTGAGTCCAGTTCTACAAAGTTATTTCTACATTTGTCTCCCAAATCTGAGGAGCTTGGCCATGACCTCTTCAGGTGCATACTGAAGAAATGTCCAGGTCAGTGCTGCAGAGAATACGGAAGAGGTTTGGGTTTTAGTTCCTCCTTTCCAAAAATGTAGGCAGTAGCCACTGATCACCACTGAATGCAGAAGTGCAGAAAACTCCAAATTAAACTACTAACTGGATTCTTAGAGGAATTAAAAGTTTGCCCCTGGGCTTCAGTCCCTATCTAACCACTTTAAATCCTTTGAGGAAAATACATGTGTTCAATTACACAGTTCCAGCGTTAAGCTGCCTTAATGATTAATGCTCTTGGATAATTCAATTTCATTTTCTGTGTCACTGAATCAGGTAATATTTCCACTTATAGGTAACTTCAGTAGCATTTATTTATATCAGAGCAACATTAAAAGAGATGTCAGAGCAGTCAAAGGAATTAATCATCACACTATGATTTCAGGACTGGCTGTGTACTGCCATAGAGAGCACAATCCCTTCATCCCTTGGCTAATTAGAGCAGGAGGCAGGAGCATCAAAGTACTGACCTTGATCTTCAGTGGTGTGAAGTTCCATAATTGACATGAAGGGCCCCATAGCATCGTTAACTAATCAAATACTTGTTCTAACATTTCCAATGACATAATCTAAATCCTTTTTATGGCTTTTAAAAGTCTGGAATTAAACATCTTCTCTAGAGCACATAAGGCTGGTTATGACCTATGTCTTCAGGGTGAGCCCCCATAACTGTGTTTAGGACACTTTTGCTGATTAATTAAAAGAGCTTCGTGAAGTAACACTGTGAACTACAAAAATATTAAATTGAATAACATGAGATGGAACTATAAAGTAAGGAATTATATAGCAGAGGTGTCATACTTGATGACTCTTACGGGCAATGTAAAACAAGGTATTTCTAAGCTCTAAGCTAGATAGAGTCTGACCATCCAAACATTAATTAAGTCACTTATTTCCTAATTGATGTGAGTAATGCTGCTTTTAAAAATGCACTGGCTTTCCCTCCCTGCAATTCTTATAATTTAATATTAAGGGATTGACATATAAATTGTCAATATTTCTGAGAGCTCATGAAAATACTGTAAGCTTCTGCAAGACATGGGAAGCACAAAGACATCAACCTGAGTTCAAATATGAGGTTAAAACTTGTGATTATTCAGATTCTTTCTTTAGGATGAAACTCTAAAACATTCAACAAACTGATCATTTAATTAAAAAAAATTAAAATGTTAAAAGAAATGGGACTGCTAACTAAAGCATTGCACAGGGATGTGTTTTCAAATTATATCATGACATAGTTAGTTTTCAGAATAACTGAGGCTACATGTAGCAATAATAGCAATAAAATTTGGAATGGCATCAGGACAAAAAGTGAAAAGCAGCCCAGGTTTATAGAGGCCTGCAGAATCCATGGGATAACCCAGAAGTTCCAAGATACAAATGAATGTTTTTTTTTTTTTTTCAAAGAAAGTGTGACTTTATTTTAGTGTGTAAGTTTAGTATGACTTTTATTTGCTTCTATCTTCGTTTAAAGGCCAACTTACACAAGTTATGTGCATTACATCAACTGGCTAAGTAATACAGTATGATTTATTTTATAATGACACCTTTGTGTTTTGTATTGGAAAGCTTTTACTTTGAAATGCTGACATTTCATCCATTCCCTTTATAACTCCCAATTATCCTACAATATCCATTATTTCATTCTACTTAATGAAAGGACTATTTTCTCACTGCAAAACTCACAACAGCTTTTGTCCCTACTGAGAGAATATTTTAAAAACAGCACAATGCACTTCAACAAAAGATTTCTTTTCTTGCAAAATGACCTCTTAATCCCTGGAAAAAATATTTTTACAAATGCCCTTTCTAGCATCGCTATGCCGAAGCACAAAACCACTACATGAATCCTGGGGACTGTCATTTGGAATGGCCCCTGTGTGTAGCATGCACATTCATAAAGGGTATTTTAGAAACCATTCCCTCTTTTTGCGAGATTTACAGGAGGACCTGCCAGCGATGGACTGAGTCTCACCTTCCAATGGCTTGGGTAGAAAATGAGCTGCTGGTTTTGTTTTCTTCACTCTGTTTCCTTTCATGACCTGCCCTTCTTTGTTCAGCCCCAAGAACCAGGCCCTCCCGGACTCCTGTTGTCTGTAGAGCATGGATGAGTAGATTACATAATAATTTTCAAAAACAGACTCCTTGAATTTGCACTCTGGTGTAAAAAGTTCCTGTGGGAGGAAAAGTAAATGTTAAATGATCGCTCTAAAGTGAGGCTTCTGTTTTGTTAACTTACAAATATCTCTTGATAAGTTTAATATAGGACTTATTATAATATTCTACTTGGAGACCAGGAGAGCTGTATTCCTTGAGATGACTTCCAGGTGAAGTTATTTCACCTCCCAAGGATCCCTCTGTTTTCCCATCTGTGCAACAGGGATAGTGCAATTTCAAAGTACAGAGGAAGCGACACAGGCATAAACCCACTATTTAAAATACAGGAATAATTATTATTGTTCTTCTGTTTTTGATAGGATATACTTGTAAAGAGTAAGAAAGTCCAGGTTTACCGTACTAAATGTAACAAACTCCCTCTATGCTTTATAAGAACTGATACTTGATGCTTAAAAAATGATGTTGCCAGCATATTAAAATATGTATCATTTCCTAGAGCGCACACAGCCTTCAAAATTCCAGGAAAACTCTATCTTGATGTACAAACTTTTGTACAAAAAAATGTAATTGCTGTTGATATCTTTGTTCTTCACCCCAATACTGGTAATGCTTCCAGAAGTCACATTGGGTAACAGAGCAGTTCTCCTAAACTCTTTACATAAATATTGAGACAGAGTTTAGCAAAATCCTTAGGAAAAAAATCCCCAGCAAGTTAGCAAGCAAATAAAAATCACATTTAAAATAACATGAGGAAATAAGATTCTGTGCAAATGGGATTTTCTGTCTTTGGACCTGTCTGCTGAAATCTGTGGAAGATAGTCCTTTCATAAAGAGGTAGATATGGGAAGGTGAGAGGTGGATTGCTAACCTCTCAGAGCATAAATTTCTCAGCCCCGAATCCTTTTCGGTATATTTATATTTCTTTCAATTATCTTTCCCAAGAAATAAAAATCTGGAAATGTCATATTTTGACTTCTCCGTTCATAGTATTTTTCTTCTTTCTTTTCTTTCATTTTTTTTTTTGCTCCTGGCCCCATGCCGTACTGTGTTAACACTCAGCAGGTAATGTGTTTTCAGGGTCTCTATGCCATCCCCGGCTGCCTATATGCTGTAAGAATTTCACAGCTGTTTCTGTCACAGATTTCCTTTCTGGAGATCAAAGCTCTTAAAGACACACTTCCCCATACCGGAAAACACTGACGAAGTGCTGCTCTGAACCTGCAAAAATGTCACTTAGTGCACAACCAAGTTCCCCTAATGTCGTGGGCTACACGGTATTTGTATCACCGTGGCTTAAGTGACCAATCAAAAACAAAGCTGTCCTGACAGATCCCAGGCATATGGAACAACTTTTAACCTCAAATAAAAAGAATTAGTGTATTTTATCCAGCAATAGACTAAAAGCAGATAGGGCAGCAGCTGGGAAATCATTTGTGGACCTGCGCTAAACCAGGTTGTTTCTCTGTGTGAGCAAGAACACTTAGTGTCTACAGGTCACAGCCATTCACAGGCTGCAGAAAATACTCTCCGATGCGTGCGATGGCCATCGTTCTGCGCTACCGCTTCTTCACCAGCTATGTGCACAGCTGTATTTATGATACACACACCCAGAAATGCAAATACAGGCTGTACCAGAGGCTCAGAAAGCTAATAGCGGGAAATACCTTAACTGCACCTTCTCCTTTGCCACGGGGCTTTTCCCCTCTGTTCCAAGACTTCAAAGACATCTGTTGTTTGTGTTGCTCTCCTTTCCCCTCCACTGATTTCAAATCACAGTAGGGCTCAAGGAGACTCAAAATAAAAGCAGAAGGCAGGGTGGCATGCTAGAGGGAATGCCTGTTAAAGCCTAGCGCAAGCATTTACATGCGAGTCATGTTCCTCCTTGCTGAAAGAGCAGATGCTAATCAGGAAATGCCGACACAGCTCTCCTTATTACCTGCTTCGCTGCAAATGCTACCCCCTGTGTTCCCCACTAAGTTTTACTTCCTTGTAAAGCTCAATTACCATAAACACTACTACTTAGCCAATACTCACTTCTTTCTTCTGCTATAAACAAAAGCTGTTTGTCATTCCACGCTCCTCCATACTAGCGATGGTTGGCTGCCTGTAAACGCTCTTTGTGTGTTTTCCCAAACAATATCCATAAGGATACTGAATCAAGATTCCTTCAAATCATATCCCTCCTCTGAATCAACCCTGGGTCTTTCCTCTCTCATTTCTTCGGCACGTACGGTAGCGCTTCTGACAGCGCACAGCGTATGATGCCGTAGGTTTTTACCAAGTCAAAAAGAACGGATTATGTCAACACGGTTACTCAGCTACTCCTGGATGCAGGCTGATAAACTGGACAAACAGGCATCATATTACTATTTCTTAGTTATGAAAAGCATAGTAATAGTCTGCTTTTTTTTTTTTTTAAATACAAAGAAGAGCCAAACACAAATACTGTATTTTGCCTAAAAGTACTGCACCTATCCTACTCCAGATGTCTGGGTAGTGTAACAGCTTCGGACAGGGTTTGCATTCATCCAGTGTATGAGCATGCAATTTTGCCTGGGATAAACTCTCAGTCAAAAAGCCACTTAAATGTATGTTACTTTAAAGTAGGCTGATAGTCCCACTGGTGTGGGGAGTATTCATGAATGAAAACTAATCTCCTGATGATCACTGTGCTGAACTGCTGCCATTAGTGCTTCCGAGGAAATAATTACTTAGTCAGGGGCTTCTGAAATGAGCACCTTCCCTGGGACTCAGGTGGAAATGCCTCAGACACCATCTCAGCTGGTTGAAAAGCTGTAATCACCTGCATTTTCTCCAGTAAAGCAGCCATGACACCTAAAATGCTGTTTCTGCATGTACCTCAGACAAATCTAGATCTGCATACCTAAGACTCAACCCAGTAAGAACTCTTAGAAAATGACTAATGGTCTAGCAGCACCAACTATATAAACCAATCATCCACGGGTGACTTCATTCAAAACCATTACTGGAGGGAAAGGCAGTACAATGGCATTTTATAAGAGAAACTCAGTGGTAAGGACACTCCCCTAGGCTACCTGTATCCAACCTGAAGGAATCCAAATCTGCATCTGGCTGACATGAATCATTTAGATCTTCCCTGCAAGAATGACTTTTTGGGTTTTGATCCCAGGACATTTTGTGAACGCATAAATTGCAAAATCAGGCATGACTTACAAACAAAAACTTGTGTTTAGGATTTCTCTTCCCAGGTCAGTGCCCAGATTTAACCTGTAGTCTTATATAAAAAGTGGTTTTCTCCTGTCAAAGCAACATTTGAAAAATAGAGTATATACCAGTTGCCAATTTCCAAAACCCCAGGAGTGGGGTTTGGCTGTAAACTGCAATCTGATACAGCTTCCTGGGCCCTAGAAAAGTGAAGGATGTATTAAATTGCATCTTGCTGAGAAGCATTTTCACTTGGATATTTTTGCCAGCTTCCCATCAAGTTTTTGCTTGATGTGAGTCTTCTTTGGAGATGTTTTCATTCTCCTAATTCCTGTAGCATTAATAAGTATCATAACACAAAGGTTGTGAGTTCAAACTCAGACTCAAAAAGTTGTGTCACTGGGGAGTTCTTAGTGTTGAGGTACCCACCAGTGTTGCCAAAACTCAGCATTGTTACATCATAATAGTGGAGCCTTAGCCCATGGAGTCACGCGGCTGTGTTAAAATCTACTTTCATTTAAGAACAAACCACCAATTAATTAAAGAAAAAAGAGCCATTATCCAGCCCTCAGACTTAGGAGTGCCTGAACGAAGGAGCTTGAGTTACCTGTGTTGTCAACACAGAGATATAATGATTGTTGTAAAACAACTCAGATGGCAACTGAGATGAACTCCCTACCAAGTAATGTCTTTCTGTCAGTCCGAGGCTGAAGTCTGACAGGATGAAGCTAAGCCTCCATGCTAATCAGCAATGTGGCACAGTAGCAAATGGCTATGGTTCAAAATCAAAGTACAGCAAACTTCACTGTCCCACAAGTAATTGAGTAAATTAAAATATTTGAATGAGTTATCAGTGTAACTTCTGATTGTTGGGCTTTCACAATTTAGTCTGTTCAATTTAGCTAGCTTTGAAGAAGTTGCACATGTAGCCATGGTCTTTCACTTCAAATAATCCCCACCAACCATGGAGTTTTTCTATTACAGCTCTCAGAAAGGAGAAATAATTATGCAGCGACGGATGAGACAACTATGCTGCGAACCACAGAGTTGCAAAGTAAAAACTAACATGACAACACAGCTAGCCATATAACTTTTAAAATAGTGTTTAAAAATTACACGAACACATGCAATTTTAAACTATATGCCTGTTCAGTAAGTCAATCAATAGTGATTGATGTCGGGGCTGAACAGAAAGTAACCTTGCACTGCACACCAAGAAGGACAGCGTAAGACCATGGCTTTACAATAGTCGTCAAAACAGACAGTTCCAAGGAGAAGGGCTTCTACAAGTTTCCTACCCTCTACTCCTGAACCTTCAAGCCTCTTTAAATTTGTGTTTTGATCTGAAATATAGGAAAGGAGGGTATTGTTCTAGTTACAGCTTACAGAAGTAATATAGATAGCAGTCAGCCTCTTGAATTGTAGCCAGCAGCAAATAAGGCAGCAGTGGATTCCCCTGGAGATGGGCACAATGGGACTCGTTCATCACACCAGGCGGCAAAAGCGCAGTGCACGCTGAACTACCTACAGCTTCTCCTTGGTGCCAAGCAGAAAACACAACCACAAGACAAACTTAAAGAGATTGCCAGGCATGGAACAGCCAGTCTTACAAAACACAGTAAAAAAACCCCTCTGATTACTGATCTTTTTCAGAACTCAAGACCAGTTGAAAATAATCCTGATTTAATACTATTTATTATTTGTACTTAGAAGCCCAGGTCATGGAGCAGCACCTCAGTGCTTTGGAAGTACAGACCCAGTGGAGCCTGCCTGACGTGAACACCTTTCAATCCAAATAGAGCTTGATATTATAAAAACCCTAAAACATCTGAGCAATGATATCAGCATGCTAGTACCTGGTTATCTTTCT